GATACCTGTAGAAGTCTTAATGGTTGAAACTAACAAAACGTAGAGGAAAAGCAGCTGCTTTCAGTGGCCCCTTTAAGGAGGGCAGGAATTTCAGACGGGTTGAACGCAAGCTTTAAAAAAGTGGCCATCTGGAAGAGAGACCTCGCTGGTCTTTACCCAGGGCAGTGGCTCTTCTGTCACCCTTCAATGACACTTCCTTCTTTTGAGCTTCCTCTGTCTCAGAAAATCCACTGGCTGCCTTGCCTGACACTGTCTTCATCTGAAAGCAGAAAGAGCAGTTTGAGTAGCTAAAAATTCTAAACTTTTATCATCAGCACCTCACCCTGGCTGAAGTGATTGGAAATTCTACCAGGGCAGCTGGTGGGGATATTTTTGGGCATCCCACACATTTACTGCCCCCTGGAATTATCGGTGTGAAAGGCAGTGAAACAGTCTCTCACCTGCTCTGCTTCCTGATTCTTCTCCTCCTCTGCCTGGCTCAGGAGGAAACCCTCAGCCAGGGCCACTGCCTGGGAAGTGGACTCTGCCCCACACTCTCGGACCCAGCTCTCTATCTCTGGGGGCAGGACAGCCAGGAACTGCTCCAGGATCACCAGGTCCACGATCTGAATCTTTGTATGCCTTTCAGGTTTGAGCCACTGATGACAAAGCATGTGGAGTCGGCTGCAAACATCCCGGGACCCTTTGCCATCCTGGTAGGAAAACTTCCTGAAGAGCAGGCGAGGCACATCTGAACAATCCGTGCCTCTGCTCAGATCATTTTGCATTGTTATCTCCCGGATGGCCCCACTGCTCCCAGGCTGATTTGGAAGAAGACATCCTGTTTCTGCTTCAACACAAGTGGATTCAGGCTCTTCCATTTTTTTATCTCAAGTTTTCCACTCTCTTTTCTCCTGCCAGTTTGTTTCTTGATGGGAAATCAGCAGGAAGGATTGTAACTGGCGAAGAACCACATCTATGACAGCTACAAGATTCTGCCTATAAGAAAAACAAGAATATTCAAGGAGGAAGGACACTAGCAGTTGTGCATATCTCTGTCTATTGAACCTAATAATGTCATCTTTAATATGATCTTCTTCCCTTCCATGACTTTTACTTCTCCTTCCTAGGACAGATCTCTGCGTGTATCTCACTCTTCCCTTATTTTGCAGATGGAAACAGATGCAAAGTTAGCAATTAGTAGAGAGAAGGGTAGAATAATCTATCAGAGGGAGAGAGCTCAGCCTCACAACCTTCCTCTCCATATCTAAGCCGATTTTACAATCTCCATACCTCCAATCCAGACATAGGGATGGTAAGATTATTTTGGCTCCACCAACTCCTTCTCTTGTCTTCTGCTGCTCTTCAAATACAAAATGAATTAACACTCATTCTACTAGTTCATAAGGAATACTCTTGGATTTATTTTGGGAACCTCCTGGTGATATTAGTTTGTCCTTCTCTACTTACTATGGAGAACTTAGCATCTAAAATATGTAATGGGTGGTGGCAGTTGTGAGTAAACTAGAAGGATCTTCTTTTCCAAAAGGAGAACCTGATTTGAGGCCCCTTCCAACTTCATAATTTTATTAATTTTTTTGTGTTTCTTTTTTTCAGAAAGCTCCAACAGTGACTCTTGTTGAAACATAGTAACCAGAAATCTTCTGAGGTTTCCCTTCTGAGATTTCCAGTATTATTGTTCCCAGTAAATATCTAGAGAGCAAGATGAAGACTGAAGACATGGCTTAATAATCTTAGAACTGCATAACTGTTAGGTACCTTATGGACGATCGAGCCCAGCCCTTCTTAAGGAGACCCAGTAGGGAATCAAACTCCCATCCTTCGGACCTTCAGGCAAAGACCCAAATCCCTGAGCTATCCAGCACTTCAATATCCCTTCGCCCTCTTGCCTGATTTTCTCCCCAGACGGAGACATGTAAGTCCCTCCAAAGGGTCTGTTCCATTTTCTGCCTTTCTGAGGACTCTAGCAGAGGTATTTATTATCTCTGTCATGAATATACTTATTAGGGGTTGACAATGGCCAGACACTTTTTGGGACATATCACAGAACTGGGAGACAAAAAAAACCCCACCTAGTAGGATGGCCACTTGACGGCATAAATATGCAAATTTATTTCAATGCTGGAACTTTTCTTATCACCGACGTGGTTCTCATGGCTTCCCTCCAGACCACCCTCTTAGTGCAACTGAGCGAAAAAAGGATGGATGAATGGATGAACGGAGATCCCTGATGGGGTTTTGCAGAGAAAGGGCCCTAAGCGTCTTTCTGCTAGGATTCTTCTCTCCATGGAATGTTCGAGGCCCCTCCGAGCCCCTATCCTG